ATGAGGATGAGGGAGTATTTCTGTGACAAATAAGTTCTTTATCTTGTTTACAAGAGACAAAGTCCTTTGCTTGTAAGGTAGATGAAAAGGGATGTTTTCTTATCTTTTTATTAATCGCTTTTTTATATAGTGTATTACAGCACTCTGACAGTAACTGACAGTGTCTTTAGGTGCCAATGTTTTAGGTCGATACTTTATTGATCCCGTGAGGGAAATTGCAGAAAGTTCCTAAAAAAAGTAACGTTGGTATTTTACTAATGTGAAATACCAGTGTTAAATCACCTTTAAGGTGGTAGAAATGTGGGATTGTGTGAAACAACGAAACAGGGCAGAAAAAGGTATTTCATGTTTTAGAATTTCAGAGAAATATAAAAAACATAATAAAAAGCTAGCAAAACAGAAATTTGAAGACAGGGTGGAAGGTTTTAAATCTGTGGGACATCATACAGAAAGGTGAATTAATTTAAATGTTAGGAACTGTTTTCTGTCTCAGGGTTCCTCATTGTTGAGAAATTCACACAGAGCTAAGGTTATTGTCTCCTTGACTGTTTAGTGGGTTATGTCATTTAAAATTGATGATTTTGTAATATTTCCTGTTGGCCCAAGCCTGTATTTAAAGTATGGATAAACAAAATTCCTTAAAGGCAGAGCGATTCCCAAGGGAAAGCTGCAAAGGCCTGGAACTGAAAAGTTTACCTAAAAAACACTAAAAAACCTCATCTTAGCCAAATTTTATTTTACTGGAAACAATATTATGTGCTATTCAGTGACCAACTGGGGGAAAACCTGTAAGGGTGATGTTAAATGTACTGTATAGCGCTGACCAGTTTACAGCATTTTTTGTACAATCTATTGGGCAAACATTTTAAATTTAAACTGCTTTAAAAATTAAGCAACAAAAGCAGCAACAATTTACTTGATATATTGCCCAAGCTGGAATTCTAACATAAAAATGCATCCAACTCCTATTTAAATACCAGCTTAGAGAATAAGCAGAAGGCAAGAAACCATTTGTGTATGCACTTCCTTTTGAAATGAGGGCTGTATAAAAATGTGTAAGAGCTATAAATCACAAGTCACACAACATTACCTTTAATTATATCAGAACAAATTTTACAATGTCAGCTGAGTTTGAGATCGCATGGGTATTTTGGTTTCGAAGAGTTGTAAGCAAGGCCTTTCTTAGTTTTTTGTTCTTGCCAATGGTCCGTATGTTGCTTCACAATGGAGGCCAGCGTTTTTGCTCTCCCCATTTTGGCTGCCCTTGGCAGTCTCCCCGTGTAACGATTTGGATTGTAATAACTGAATTAAGGCAGAAACACTTAGGGGATCCTGGCGAGAACACATTCCCTCTCTGTCACAGTCTTTACAAGAATGGCGTTCCGGTTCAAGGAGCGGATGTTGATATCCGCTGCACATGATTAGCTGCTTAATTTACATTGTTTCATTCACAGAATGACATTTTCAGAGCAGGGAGCCAAATTGTGTTTTTCTCGCCCTTTGCCAAGTGTTCCCGAAATGTTCTATGTGAGCGAGACAACCAGAATGTTATGTGAAGCAGACGTTTCATCTTATGTCGAGCGGTTCTTGTTGTCTGTTATCCTCCCGTGTGCCTTCCTCTAGTTAGGACCTTCTGAAAACCTGTATCCTCGCTGCTTGTCCCGGCACAAAAATTTTCCAGGCATTGGAGTTCGTCATGAGTCAGGATTTAACAAGATCACTCGCTGAAATTCTTTCCTGCTCAGCAGGCAGCCTGTAGTTTTTGTATTAAGAGGAGAAGAAGTGTGCTGTAAATTAGAATAAAGGACGGTGCTTATGCTGTAATATACTGCTTATACTTTCAATTACGGATAAAACCATTTCTTGTACTGTAAATGATAATAATTATGATAATTGTCACATTTTGATGCATTTCACAGAAACGCCTGTCAACTGCTTTTGACCTGACACTTAATGAATGTGTGCCCAAGGGTGTTTTTTAGAACTCTCCATGGAGATAATAGTAATAATTCCTTGCATTTATGTGGCACTTTTCATCCCAAAGGAACCTATAGTGTTTTGCTTACAGAGGAAGGGGAAACACTTCATCCTTCAGTGAAGTGCAGCTCCCACATGGATCATGTACAATAGCCCATATGCGCTGATCTTCCCACCACAACAGATCAGGTGGAGAAGTGAAACAGAAGTGAAACTTCTGCATATTTGTCCTGGAAACCGCATGGTTAACACCGTGTTTATGAACAGTGTAAAGAACCACAACACGTATGAATGTGTATTGTGCAAATATGCACATTTATGAAATTATAAACCACTCCATTTATCAATTTACGACCATGTCAAGTCACCATATCTTTGGTTTCATACCCATATGAAGGATGGCACTGGTGTCTCCAGTCACTGTACGGGGTATAAAAGTCCAGGTCGAGGCAGAAGAGAGCCCCCTAAAGGTGCATTATCGCTCACCGCAGCAAGCTGGTTTTCCTTGGAGGTGTGTCCCATCTCAGTACTGACCGGATCTGAGGTCTCCGACTGGACCTAGTCTTGGTTAGCGGCTGTGGTCTGATGTAATCAGGCTAGAAGACAGGAAAGCTGCTGCCATAATTCGGCTTGACCAAAGAAAAAAATCAGCAATGATATGATCAAGTCATATGATGGAATGTACTCTCCTCCTGCTTATTTTTTACGCTTGAATTGCTTGCATTTCCTATAAAAAAGGCCTTTCAGTGTTTGAGATTCGGAGATAGTGTGTTCAAATGACCAAACGTTTATCTAGCTTCTCTACTTCTTAGGAAGAAGAGTGGGACATGAATATTACACATTGTAATAAAGGCCACTATTGTCATACCAGTTTAAATGATTCGTATGAAATGTTTGTTGTATGTATTTATAACTTTTTTACATGGGTATCATCGTCATCAGGAAATGCCTATCAAAGATTAAGCAACTGTAACTTAGACCTTTGGCTGCTTGAGCTTGGTCCCCAAAACTTCGATACACCCTTATGCCCCCCTTTAAAAAGTGCAAGTAAAAAAGTTAAAAGAAAAATGCCGCTCAGAGATAATGACTTTGGGACACTTTATAAGAGAAATTTTCCATTTTGATTAACACGCATGAAGAGGGAGAATCCTGTTATACTATACCTGACCTGATCTAAAAGTAATTGGAAGTTACAATTATCTTCTTTCTTTCTTGAAGTTGAATTTTTTAGATGAAGAAATTAAAAAAATATATTTTGAAACGTTGTATTTTAGTGTTGTTTATATGGAATATCATAGTCTCTTTCTTACAGTAAAGCCGAGCATATTTGAGTAAATCTGGGCTTGAGTTAGAACGCGGAGAGTTAATTTTCTACAGTAACGTCAAATTCTCCTCTTAGGATGTGGGCAAATTAGAAAAGATAAAATGTATTGCCAAATATATTTGGTTCTTCCACTAATGTAATTTATACACTTTAATTTTGAATTCCTCTTCCCAGAAAGAGAATAAGCTTGTAATGGTCTGAATGAAGGAGCTTTGGACAGCGGTATGATTCTGGAATTACCTTATTGAAAGAGCTATTTTCTTGACAGTTTCTTTAGGATTGAGACCAGACTTCTCCATAAGCCTAAATATAATTTTTCAGTATGGTGCAAAATCACAATTTCAAGAAAAGTCTAATGCACCAAAAGGTAATTCAGGCACAACATTAAGATGTGGTAAATTTGATAGAATCACTTTGATTAAACTATAATTTCTTTTTTTTCTTCCATATGGGATTTTCAAAACGGTTCTCACATTTCTTAAACAAACATCAGTTTATTAGGAAGGAACATAATGTAATGTCTCTTATGAACCCTCCCATGTTATCTTTACAACTTTCCATTACATGTATTTTACTTAGTGCCGCTGTGTGACCCCTAGAAGTGATAGCTAAAACCATACAGCTGTTTTCACTGACTGGGAAAATAGAATTAGGTGTACTCTCAATTTAATGATGAATAAGTGGAAGTAAATTTAGAATTTGTATAGATTTATCAAACTCTTAAAAGTTCAAATGGTTTTCATACTTCCTTTCATGCATGGCAATTTTCTGGCTTTGTAAATTCATCATTCTTCACATATTTATTCATGCCAGGAAAGGATTGGCTGGCCCAAGCACACATTCTGGATTTAACAAAAATTGAATAGCCAGTTATTTACCAGTTGTATATATTCATGTCTCAGCTATGAGCCCTGCAACTACAGTGCACACCGAGACAATGAAGAAGCCTAGACTGACTCCTCCTTTGAGCCACACCTCTTTGAGACATATTTATTTTAAAATGTGACAGGTTATGCAGTCCTGTACAAGAGGGCTGCACTGAGAACACAGGTTGCCATGGCTGTTGCAGTGTGTGCTGTTTTGCCAGTTGCCGAGAGTCCTTTGGGGGGCTAATTCAACTCTAGCCTTGGTAGTGTCCAACCACACAGAGGGATCCCCGTCTCAATCTGCTAATGATATGGCACAGTCTATGATATATGACATATATGTCATATATCATAGGCTCCACGGCCGAAACGTTGTGTTCTCTTTCTTCTTTTTTTCAGCATGGAATAAACCTATTACTTGTTCCTTATCATAATATATATCTCATATATCAAACATTATATGTTATATACATCATATATATGATATATGATGGGAACAAGTAAGGGTTTATTCCATGCCAAAAAGAGAAGAAAAGTATCACACCTGAAGAAGGCTCCACATCCAAAACATGTTCTTTTCTTTTCAGCATGGCATAAACCTTTACTTGTTCCTTTGCATGGAAGCTGACGCAGCTTTCTACATGATATATCATATATCATATTATATATGATACAGCCTCAAACCCAGTGTCTGCATCACAGAGCTCAGGTTAAGGCTTAGATGAGCATCTTTAACCTTTGAGCCTGTTGACTTGCTATTTCTTATAAGTGGTTAATGACTTCTCTTCTGAAATTGGTTTCGCTTTGACTGAGCTTTTCATCTTCCCTTGCAGGTGGTGGTGGGAAGAGGAATGGCCGAAGTAAAAAGTGGAAGGAGATGTTGAAGCTGCCGCATATCAGTCTTTGCGAGGAATTGAGGCGAACAATAGGTAGGTGCTAAAAAAAACATTTAAGGGTCACTCAAGCCTACGCAAAAAGACAACTCACTGTGAGTCACTCAGATGTCTGCCTTCCTCCATTTTTTATGTCCCGACACAAAAAAGAGACAGCAGTACAGTGCTTTAAGATCTCAGCGGCCTGATAAACCTGGTTTATTTTTCATTTTAAAAAATCAAAGCCCCAACTGTAAATCAGGTTATTAGAATTTAGATTTTTTTAAATTAGTAGTGAAAACCAAAGTTGCCCCAAAAAAACTGATACACAACACTCAGAAAAATAAGTAAACCCAATAAAATTTGTTCTTCAGTGAACCCTTCAGTTATTTAGGCGTTTTTGTTATTTCAGTTATTTTTTTTTTACTTCAAAGGTGTTTTTGTACCTTGTCTGGGTATGCTTAGTGATATTGGACATCCCATTATTATTTTTTTCTGTCGTAATGTTTTACTTCACTGTGTTTTTTTAGATAAATGTGATAGAAGTGCTCATATTTTGCACCCTATTGGGAATTGCTGATGGGGCTAGTCACACCATTAGCCCTTGTAGTAGGATGGGGGAATGTGGTCTGTGCAAACCGTCTTTCATAATGAACTTTACGGTGAAAAACGTGCCCCTAGTTGTAATAGAAAATACATTTCTTCTTTTCTTTTGATCTTCTGTGTTTAACAAGATTTAGTTCTTTCAGCCTGTCAGAGTTTAACATTTTTTAAGTCAAGGAATGTACCCTTTATTAAAAAAAAAGCTGCTTATAAAAGATTTCTTCTCAAACTACAGTTTGTAGGAATTCAGGGAAACATGTTTAGATGGGGAATTAATTAAAATAATAACAGAGTATAGATAAAAGCTAAATGCTCAAATTGGGGTGATATGATTAATGAAGTGCAACAGGGATCTGTACTAGATACCACTGTTCTTCTGCATGTATATCAATGATCTAATGTAGGTTCTTGTATAACTAACTGTTGAAATCTTCCAGTGTGTTCCAGTGACACTAAATTAGAAGGATTGGCAAATACTGGAGGTAAAGTAAATCAGATTAAAAAAACAATTATATAAAATTTAGATACAGTTCATGACTGGATAAAATCCAGGTTATGTTTAATGTAGGACACAGGTAGAACATGCAAACTCCATGCAGATAGCATCCCAGGTCCAGAATTGAACCAGAGCCCCACGTCTGCGAGGAAGCAATGCTAACCACTTTCACCCGCACAAATTCTTATTCTGTGTAATATTAATCCCTGATGGTGTTTATTCGGTCACAAATTTAAAATTGAAAATAATTTAATATGTGACAAAATGATACCCAGTACCCAAACTTCAGAGCAGTGAGTTCAGTCAGATACTGTAGGATGAAAACAAGGAACATCTGTAACTCCTTAAGACAACAGAATCCCAGCAATTTAGTGTTAAGACTAAAATTCAAAGCCCCAGTTGCATTTAATTTAACTAAACCTAAAATTAGTTTTAGAATGCTGTGTGATGCAGACTAGATATTTCTTTTCCATAGCTTTTTATATGTTTGAGAGCACCTATTTATTAGTTAAGGTGCTCCTGAGGGTTGTGTGAGTTCTATTCCAATTCTATTCACACTATATGCAAATGAATGTACAATAGTCAATAGTCAAGGCATCTATATTGATAAATTCTCAGATGATACAGCTGTGCCTGGCTTAATGTATAGAGAAAGCAGTTTGTCTATGCATATGTGATAAATTCATAAGTTTGTACATTGGCGTGACAAACAAAACTTGCTTATGAAAGTGAAAAGAAAACTACAGAAATGGTGGTTAATCCCAAAGCTGTTGGTGACCATTCGTATGTAGTGATTCACAATGAACATTTTAACCTGGTTAATTCACATGCTGTAAGTATTTAAGATAAGATCACTTTATTAGCCCTTTACAATTTCTTGCATTAGGAATTTGTCTTTTCACATACCCCAGCTTGCTCTCCATGAAACACACAGGCACACAGATAGGGAGAGAGAAGCCTGGGGTCAGAGTGCAGGGTCAGCCATTGTACAGCACCCCTGGAGCAGTTGGGGTTAAGGGCCTTGCTCAGGGGCCCAACAGAGTAGGATTCCTCTGCCAGCCACGGTATTTGAACCGGCAACCTTCCAGCTATAAGCACAGATCCTTAGCCACAGAGCCACCACTCCGCCCCAATTTACTAATATACAATATACATAGACAGGAACCTGAGCTGGACTACTCAGGTTGAGAGTGTTTGTTCCAAAGTTCAGCAGCATCTGTATTTTTATAAAGATTAAGAGTGACTGAAGTTGGACAGGAAATAATGCTCCAGGCTGTAATGCAGAACATTATTAGATATGGTATAACAGTGTGGTTTGGTAACGTATTGGTCCAATTAAGAGAAAAAATCACCCTTCTTTTCCAGACAGCAATGAAGGTTATGGGAGTGAATCAGCACTCCTCCTTACACACATTTTTTAACAATACATGATTAGTCAGATGGAAAAAAATTGGATCATTTTAATCTCCTTAATTCTGAATATCAACTTCTTCATTCTGGTAAACGTTTTGGGGTTCCCAAAAGTAGATCAAATAGATACGAATATTTGCTGTGACAAACTGTGTGTTTCAAAGCCATGCATTTTTTTTAAATCAGATATACATATGTAATGTCTGATGTGATGATTATGGTGGATGCAGATGATCAGAAGCAATGCGTGTCCATAAAATATTTCCCCCGGGAGACAATAAAGTTTATTTTACTTGTTTGCCTTGCATTCCCCACACTGTGTTTTTGTGATGAAAAAAGTAGAAGTCAGGCATTGTCCTCTAATACAGAGATCAATATTTAATTTAATCATTGTCAGAATAAGGGAAGTGGTTTCCTTAAAAAAAAAATCATATAAATACAGCATTTCAAAATAAATGGTTCATTAAAGAAATGTCTTTTTAAAAGGCTAAGCACTGTATTCCCTTCTGCTGCAACACTTTGGTTTCATCGTTTGCCTAGTCTTTTTCCGTAGCCTGGAACACCGCAGCTGAAATAATCAACGAGCCTGCTGTCAACTACTGTACGTTGCCTGCTGAAAATGCATGAAAGAGTTTAAATCTCAAACAACTTTGAGAAACTTTGAGGAGCTGGTTTCATGCCTTTTCATGACACTGTCCTTTGGATGAGACATAAAACCAAGGTCCTGACTTTCTGCGTCATTAAAAATCCCAGGGCATTTCTCGAGAAGAGTGGGGGTGTTATCCCGGCGTGCTGGGCAAATTTCCCATTGGCCATTCCCAATCATGGCCACCTGATAACCCCCATCTATAAACTGGCTTCATCGCACTGTTCTGATAGCTGATGTGTGGTGAGCGTACTGGTGGACTTTGACTGCCGTCGCATCATCCAGGTGGGGCTGCACATTGGTGGTGGATGGGAGTCCCCATTACCTGTAAAGCACTTTGAGTGAAATGTCCAGAAAAGCACTGTATAAGTATAAGGGATTATTATTAATTATAAAAAAGGTGTTTCTTACTGTTCAGTGGTAGAGTACACAGTGCCCTGATGTGAAACCAACTGATGGTCAAACAATTGTAATAGTTCTGTTTAATGCATTTTATTTTATTTTCATGCAGTAATATGAAGCGTTAGTCTACAGTATAGTTGTTATTATCATGGTCCATTTCATGAGCTGAGGTAGTTAACTAAATTAAAAATATGCCTTTTAAACACATAAGTGAGGCATGTGTTTATATGGTACATTTAACTATTGACAACTGAAGTGAGGCTTGAACTATCGTAAAGGTCCCTCCACAGAACACATGATTGTTCAGCACATGTTTGTACAGTATATAAGAGCCATCTCTGCCTGCCTATTAAAGACCCCTTGAAAAAAAAGGCAATCATTCAAATGGGTCTATCCTGCAGAGTACGCTCACAGAATAACAAATAGTTGAAAGCTAGCTCCTGTTCTCGCACTTAAGTCCTGAGTAGCTGTTATTATCAAAAAGTAAAATTCTTATACTCTGGAAGATACCACTGAGCATAGCTGGGACTGTAATAATTGCCTGGGATTGAACTAAAAGGTGCTTACCTCATTAAGTCATTGTAAGATAGTTAAACAAGAGTATAGTTCTAAAGGTTTTTATAGAAAGAAAAATTCTATTCTAAGATTTTTATCTATTTTTTATTTCAATAAGAGATCATTTGTTCACCTTTCATTGCTGACACATTTCAGTATTTCAGTGACTCAATGGAAAATGTAAATGTTTCTGAAAACCGATAAGGAACAAACCTATATTGTATGGTAATTGTAAAAGGTTCTTGGCCACTCTTTGAATATATCTCTAACAAGCCACAATGGGAAAAAATGCAGGTCTTGAAACAGTATACAAACATACATAGATATAGATATGGAATATAGTATTTTAAAAAGGGATGTTCTCTGGTGCTCTATTCATATTATTTTCTAATAAAACTTTTTTATTATTACTGTTGTTTTCCTACATACTCATAGTATGAGCATTTCATGACTGCACATTTTTAAACAATTCTATCTTTATGATGATGTTATATGAAGCACAAAACTTTGCCCAGAGCGACATACCTGTGTTCATATTAGATAACTGGAGGGAATTTCTGGAAATTGCCCATGTAGGTTGGCCAGGGAACAGAAGCGGCCCCCTGAACACTGTTCACACGTGGTAAGACACTCTAGGGGCAATACCAGAGTTGGTTTACTTATTTAAGAAGCGTGTGTGAGCAGGGTCTAACATGAAGAGTCAGGATTCTCACTTCCTGGGCTTGTCTCTATAATTGCCCATCATTACCAATCTGTATTCTTTTAGATTCTATTGGGACCACCGGACTGGTTTATGTCCTGAGGTAGATTTGAGGGCCAGTCTCCAAAAGTGACTGAGAAGATGTTGGTGGAGTCACCTAAGGATTTGAGGTGTATTTAAAATGCATGAAACGCTTTGTGCATGCTGCATTTCCCACTGAAAGCTTTTGGAATATTCTGATCTGA